ATAGCATGATGAGCTCAGAAGCCTTGGAGACAACGGCTTTAAAGAGTGAGTGGAAAATTTATTGAGGATGTTTTAGCAATAAGTGCAGTGACATTGGATAAGGATAGGGGTTTTCAAGGGGTCCCCCAACCACAGCAGGGCTTTTTAGATGAAGGCATGTTGCTAGCAAAAGGGACTGGTCCAGGGAATACAATCAAGTGTCAGTACATTCAGCAAAGCCTGAATACTTTGGCTGGAAAGGAAAAGGAGAGAGGGATAGTCTGGAAGTGAAGAAACAGAAATGAGAGTTAGTTGAGAAATAAAATACATGCACTGCAGTATACATGCTTAGTATACAAGCAGCACTGTTTACAATAGCCAAGATACAGAAACAATAGAAATGTCCACTGACAGAGGTATGAATAAAGAGGATGTGGGGTGTGTGTGTGTGTATGTGTGTGTGTGTGTGTGCGCGCGTGTGTGTGTATACAATGAAATATTACTCAGCCATTAAAAATAATGAAATAATGTCATTTGCCTCAACATGGATGGACCTAGAGATTGTCATACTGAATGAAGTAAGTCAGAGAAGGAGAAATATTGTATGACATCCCTTCTGTGTGGAATCTAAAAAGAAATGATACAAATGAATTTATAAAACAGAAAGAGACTCACAGACAGAGAATGAATTTATGGTTGCTAGAGGGTGGATGGGGGAAGGGGTAGTTAGGGAGTCTGGGATGTGTACTCTGCTATATTTAAAGTGGATAACCAACAAGGACCTACTGCACAGCCCAGGGAGCCCTGCTCAATGTTATGCGGCAGCAGGGATGGGAGGGGAATTTGGGGGAGAATGGACACATGTATCTGCATGGCTGAGTCCCCTTTTCTGTTCACCTGAAACTGTCCCAATATTATTAATTGGCTATATCCCAATACAAAATAAAAGTTTAAAAACTAAATAAAATAAAATACAGCCACCAGTTTTAGAAAGCTATAGGCAAATTTTGCTTTCCCCAAAATCTTCCTTTCAATGAGCCAACAGCTGCAGGAGTTTGACCCTGTAGCCCTCCCCGCAGTCTTCCTGCTCCTCATTTTCAAACTCCCCCACCCCTTAACCTCTCTGTGGATCTAAATCCCAGGTAAGTGGGCCACATAGGGGCAGACAGAACGAGGTTAACCCTGAGCTTGAGGGGGAGGCTCTGCCCCTTTTCTAACTCCCCAGGAGGTGAGCTCCACAGCATTCCTCCCCCAAGAGACTACTCTGTATCTCAGACGTGACAGTTGGGCCAGGGTGGCAGGAGTTGGGGGCTAGGTAAAGGGAAAGAATCCAAGAGATGGGAAGTTAGGGTTTCCAGAATTCTTGGAGAAGTTTCATTTTCTGTAGCACATTAAAAAAAAAAAAAATCCCTGCTCAGATTGTAAAATGTGTAATGCAAGATAGAATAACCGTACTTAGTTTCTGCATCACCAGAGTACTGTCAGAGGATTTTAAAGATGGAAAAGATAGGAGATGAACTGATCCAACAGAATGGATTGAAATCTTTTGCCGAACAAAATAAAAGGAAAATAAACAAGCAGTCCTTTGCATGAACACAGTTGACCTCTTTCTCTGAACAGCTGAGAAAATTGAGACACAGAGAGGCAAACTGGCTTCTCAGGGTCAGAGGGCAGTTAGTGGTGGGGCTGGGGAGCATCTCTATTTCCTGACTGTTCAAGGCTCAGAGTTAAGATGCCTCTCTGGTCCACTGGCTTCCTTTCCCCACATATCTGAAGGAGACTCATGCCTCGTCAAATTTTTAACTTTCAACTTTCCCGTCTACCTCTCTGGGGACTCAAGCCAGATCCCATCAGCCAGTCTGTCTGGGCTGCCTATTGTCTCCTCTGTGGGTATGGATTCCTAATCTCCCAGAGAAGCCTCTTCTTAATACAAACACTCAGTGTCGGGGAGTGGGGGTAGGGGTAGGTAAAATCAGCTCAGCAAGTGGAGAGAATGGAAAGAGATAGTTTAAAACCTGAAGGGCACATTCATTTGGATAAATAAGTATGAGGCCAGGGCCGACCAGCTTCTATCCTTCATTCCTTTCTCATCCCAGCCTTCAAACATCCTTTTCTTTTTATTCTGGTAGGGTGTTTGTTTTCAGGACTCTTCCCCCCCTTTCTTTCTTATGTGTGTCCCTTCTTTTTAGATTTTATAGGTACATGTAATATTTATGTGTCGGTGACCTTTCAAACCAGTTTTAGAGATCAACTGTTTACATTTAGGAATTTTCTTTAAGGTCTACAAAGTCCTTTGTGCTTTTTCCAGGAAAGGCACTCAGTAAGAACCAAAACAAACAGCTGAATAAGTCAAATTTGATTGGAGCCAAATCTCTTAGGAGAGAAAGAAAAAAAAAAAACTTAGCATTTGTTTTTGTTGTTCCCTCTCCCTCCTCAACCCAGTCACATATGTTCGAGCCATTCCTACTTCCAGTCTGATTCAGAATTGCTGGTGAGCTGATTAAGGCGAAACTCTAAGCCTTGTGTTGGAAAAATCTTGACACTGGGAGATTTTGCAAGGCATGCTGAGGAAATGGTCCAGAAATGATGAAAACAATGTTTTGCTCTACCAAGTCTTAGGAAAAAATTTACCCCAGTGTATGTTACATTTGTCTCCATGACCATGGAGGACGGAGGACTGTTATTTCTTTGGCCAAATTTCCCATGTCCCTGGCAGGACTGGGGCTGTATAACTCAGGCTTACAACTGTTATCCAGGCCTCCTCAGGAGGTCATTCACAAGCCAGGTGATGCCTGTGGTTAGCGTTCAGCCCAAACTGACAAATGGAGCCACATTTCGTTGTTCGTCTGGCCGCCTACTCCCTCTTCACAGCACGATTTCTTCAGTAAAAAAGTTACCATGGTGTCAGGCAAGTTCAAGCGCTTTACCTAGAGCTGAAAATCCTCTAGTCACATTTTGTCTCTTCCAGTTACTAGCTCTTTGTTTGACCTTCAGCAAGTTACTTAACTGATTTGCAGTCTCAGTTACCCTGGTTGTACAATAGTGATGATAATACTTCCCTGGTGTAATGGGCGTGAGGATTAAATGAGCTTATGAATGTAGAAGTTCCTAGAATAGTTTCTGAAAATTTGCATCACTGAATATATATTTGCTTTCTCTGTGACACCACACGCTCTCTGAGACCTTTATCTGAAAGATGATATAAATCCCAATCATCATGCATGTTGGACATGTTGTGCTGCAAAATAAACCTCTGATAACAATGGAATTGAGTTGCAGACTGAGGCTGACCTACAAAACTGATCGTTTCTCCAGACGGAAATGACTCTTTCTATGACTCCTGCCATAGCAACAAGGAGCCCACCTCCCTAGGATGGTGGTTGCTGCACATTGACTACTGGAACCAAACTGATCTGGGCCTCACTTTCACCCAGAGTTCTGGTGTTTGTAAGGATTCTCAGCATTTCATAACGGAAATGACAGGGAAAGATTCTCATAGAACAAAGACTATTGCATTACAAGTTTGAAGTCATGGGATGTGTAAAAGGTCAACTAGGTATGCCTACATGAATGTGCACTAATATTAACCCTTCTATTTTCTTCTATTAATTGTAAGGATTAAGGGTGCTATGATGTAGCACATTATAATGTATGTAAATTGGCCAACAAGCAGCTAGGATATCAAGAGTTAAACTTCCCTCCCCTGACCCATTCCCCAACCCACTGAGTGAACTCTGTGGTTTCCAGGGTCTGTGGGTTTTTTTCTGGTAAAAATTCACACTTAGGAGAACAGTGGTTTTGCTTGAGACAGAATGCTTAATGATGAATTTTTTTAGCATTTAAGAAATCCCATAGCCCTACTAACAAGTATGACTCTGCAATAGAAAAATATTTTTAAGTCTTTTAAAATTAAAAACAAATATCCAACAGCAAACCAAAGTAAGATCAAATGAGAGCTATGTGTCAGGCCCAATTATGCTACTTATTGGGTGAAAGGATTGATTTGAGTGTGAAGGCATTTTTTCCTCTAAAACTGTATAAAAAAGTGATGCATCTTCTCTTTATGAGGGTCAAAAGAATAATATGGTCTCTAACCCACAGAGAAGATAAATATTTGCTGAATGAATGTTCCTATGGAGTGGGAACATGAAGAAAAAGCAGGCTTCTGTGGATGCAAGAATCCTAAATTATTTAAATGAAATCTCTTTCCCGAGAGGCCTGAGATTGAGGTGCTGGTTTTCCGGAGAGAAAGCCCCTCTTGTATTTCAGCCCCAAGATGTGATGTGTGTTCCATTTAAGGGAAGGGCCAGTGACCCTGGTTTCCTTGCCAGGACCTTGAGCAACCCAAATGTTGAAAGATGTGGAGGAAAAACTAAAAGGAAGTGGATTGATTTAGCATGAGAGAGGAGAAAGCTAAGGGCTATCATAAAACAGCATTCAAAGACTGTAGGAAGGACAAAACTTCTCTTAAAATATATTGAAACCAAAGAGAAAGGGATTTAGGTTAGGCATGAAATAGATTTTTTGAACTGTGGTAAAAAGCAAATAACAAAACTGACCATTTGAGTGCATAGTACAGTAGTGTTAATACATGCACATTGTTGTGCAAGGATTTTTTGACAATGAAGTTAGTACACAGCGTTGGGTTTCTCCCTTTCTCTGTCTGTTCAGCTCTTTTCAGTTTAATTGGAAGAAAACGGAATTTCACTTTTGAAAATTTAGAAAAACAGCTCACGCCCTGAATCCCGAGGGGCTGGTAGAGATGATCTCATAAGGGCTCCTTCCATCGCAAACTCTATGCAAGGCAGTGAGGTGATAGTCCAACCCCAAAGCGGTCACACCGACGAAAGTGTGCTCAAGCTGCCTGGGATAGTCAGAGATGCATGCTTATGCTGACAATGCACTCTAGCACTAATACAGCTTCTAACTGCGTATCATGATTTCTAAGCTTGAGAGGACTGTGAGCTTCGCTTTGACTTGAAGCCTACAGGATAAGCGCAGCTCGGGACTGCGAGCTTTACCTTGGGTTTGTACGCGTTCAGCATCGACATCTCTACATTTTGGCCTCTGACATGCTTCGGTTGTCTCTGGACAGGCGGTGATGACGCCTTCTGGTTATTGCGACAGACGCAAATGAAGAAGAAGAGCAAAGCAATGGCCAGGGGGATGGCAACACTAGGCACCAGTATGTACAGGATTTCCATTTTGTTCTTCTCCTTGGAATCCTTTGAATCTGGGTGTAGAAGTGGAAAAGAGCAAAAGTTATACTAGTTCAAATAACATACATAATATTACATAGCAGAGCTTTAAAATGATCTCCTATTCGTCAATACACACAAATCTTCTGTGAGAAAAGAGAACCCTTGCTTATTACAATTTGTTTCTACCAAACCTTCAATGTAATTTATTAAAGTTGAAAAGTTTAGAGTTCAAACGTTTAAAAATTGCAGAGGGACATTATGAAGACTTCACATGTGCGTGGGTCACCTCTGTTTAGCAGCAGAGCTGCATTTCTCCAACACCTTAAAAGTTAAACGCCACATGGATGGACTGTATACATCCAGGAGTGTTAATGTGGACCACAGGGGTCTTCTTCCATTGGCCGCCAGCCCATATCAACCACAATGTAGCATTCCAGGAACCGTGCCCTTGTCTTGGCTGGCTTGGACATACAGGGCCAGTCCTGCATCTTCCAGAATCAACATCACCAAAGAATACTGACCCCAGGGGCCACAAAGCCCCTAGCCTGAGAATATGAGGACCAGAAGTCAGGGCTAGCTCCATCTCTGCTGAGCTGTGTGACCCTGAACAAATCATTCACCTCTCTGGGTCTCACTTTTTCTCATCCACAGAAGTGAAGTATCTGTCTGTTTTGGATGGTGTCTACAATTCCCTCTCTCACAGCATCACTGTATAACTTGACACTTTTTTGAAAGCCAAGAATTCTTCTTAAAGAGTTTCATATGAACTCAATAATTGTGAGTGGTAACCCTTTGAAGTATATTTTTGAAATCTGACACATCCACTGTTACCATTGCTTGGGAAAGACTATAATATAAAAGAATATATATAAAATAACATGTATAGAAGGACACAAGGACTCGTATTTTTCTTTTTCTGATTTGAGTCTGACTATTAAACTCAATGCCCTGAGTATACACTAAAATTAATGAACGACCTGACTGGTAGGACAAATGCAAGCATTTTGGGACAGTAATTAGAGGGGCTGCATAATGATGCACCCTGATCACCAACAACGTCATCAGCTATCTAGCTTCAGGAAAATCCACAGTGTGAAAAGTCAGATTGACATAATATTGAGAGTTGATTATTTACTTAAAAGAATTAACCATGCATCCATTCCCTCATCCTCCCATTTGTTCAGTTAGTCAATAAACAAAACTTACTACTGGCAAGCACTCCACTAGGTACTGGGAATATAAAATGAAATAGAACACGTGCTTTGCTCTTAAGGAGTTCATGATCGGGTAAGGAAAACAGCGACAAGATAATTACAATAAGCTACTGGAAATGCTACAAGGGAAGTATGGATAGAGGGGTGGAGAGACCCTAAAAGTCCCTTTAAAGAGTAAGCTTCCTCAATACATGTAAGTGAGAATATACCATACATAGCTTTTACTTGCACACACTTTCTTTGGGAACCTGCTGTTCAGTGAGATACAGCAGTAATTAATCACACTTTCCATAGAAACAGACTCAACATGAGAAGTTAGGAAGGGGCCCTAAAACCTGTCATCTGTGGGTTAACCCTCAGAGGAGCTGGGGGAAGGATGAAATCTGCTTGCTGAATATAATAAAAATTATAGTTTTAATATTTATTGAGTGTTTTCTATCAGCGGAAAATCATGTTAGCTGTTATTATTACTATGGGCCAAGTAATGTTCCTAGCACTTTTCATAACTCATTCATTTTATCCTTACCACCAACCCCATGGGCTAGGCACCATCCTCATCCTTGCTCTCACAGATGAGGAAGCTGAGGGGCAGGGTGGTTAATTTACTTGCCCAAGGACGTGTAGCCAGTAATTCTACAGCTCGGGTTCCTGTCCAGTTGGTCTTGCTTCACACCTCCTGCTCCAGCACTACACTAGACTGCCAGTCATGTGAGAGTAGCTGTTGTTTTGCACCTATTTTCCTGGGGTAGGTCTTCTCTTGTTTCATGGAAGTACGAAGGAAGGAGGCCTAAAAGGTAGGGACTAACACTGAAGCTTTGCCAGGTATGATGCTTGTGAACGCTCCACTTGTACACTGTGGCAGGTGAGCATAAACCCAGGCGTCTCCGAAGGTTGTTCTAATCATACTAGTCGTTGGGAACTGGGTTTTGGATGTTGTAATAACACCTATTTCTGCACATCTGTGGGTGGGTGGACAGACTGAGGGAAGGGGATGGCTACATCTCTTAATCTATCTATCCATCCACTTTATCCAACAAAGGAGATTATGTTTTAGAGTGAGAAATCTCTGAAGACGGACTTTTTCATTATCTGTGTACCCTTGAGTAGGCATGTGGCTTCCCTGAGCAAACTCATCTGTAAAATAGGACTCTTTCAGAAAACTGTTATAAACCACAAGTGAAGAAACATGGGAAGTATCTATTCTAGTTCCTGTTATAGCTCAATCACACAATGTTTACCCTCCACCTTTAGAGTAGGAAGATTCAGGCAATAAAACTTTGGGCTGGAAATGCTAAATAACAGTGAGCCAGAAACCTCTCTCTAACCTCAGTTATTCAAGGGGGATAAAAATACCTGCTCTGCCAACCTTGCTTAGTTCATGTGAGAGAGGACAGTCAGCAAAGAGTCTGGGAAAACTGAAAACTGTTGAGTAGTTATTCAATGCTGTTATTATCATTACTTGGAGAAGGAAATGGCAACCCACTCCAGTATTCTTGCCTGGAAAATCCCATGGACAGAGGAGCCTGGTGAGCTACAGTCCATGGAGTCACAAAGAGTCGGACGTGACTTGAGCGACTAACACTTTCATTTTTATTATTATTAATTTTTTTTGGAGTATAATTTGCCTTACAATTTTTTGTTAATTTCTGCTGTAAAGCAATGGAACAGGATAGAAGGTCCAGAAATAAACCATTGCATCTATGATTATTACTAACATTATAAAACACTTTCAAGTTTTTCAGGCCCCTAGGGGGGGAAGTGCCTCTTGTTATTCTTGGATTTTCAGTGAAATCATTTTGAGGGTAAGATTACAAAAGGAATGAGGTTAATTTAGCACGAATGTAAAGTTAGTCATTTTTCTGGCCACATATTTAGCAACAAGAGGAACTAGGGTCCTCACCTGTCTGGCAAACAAAGGAGTCTATTCTGTACTCACTCCGTATCAGATTATTCATGGAACGCCTTTGACTGAAACGGGAGGTCTGGGACAAATCCCCGTGTAGGTCTGCCGGAGAACAAACTTCAAGAAGCTAAATCCTTTAAACATTGTCAAACTTGGCTCCCTCTGATTACACTGAGGATATGCAAACGAGGACAGTGTCTTCTTGCCAAGTGAAATAATCAAGCAGAACACTACGTGGTCATGTTGGAAGTGACAGAAAACAAATTCAGGCCCATTGTAAGTCTTACTGACTACACGCTTCCTTTCCCACACGGCTCTCTGCACTTGGCCAGAAGGGGAGTCACCGTCTGGCTCAAAAAACTTCATATAAAAACATTCCACAGAACAACTAACCTTACTCATGGAAAATTAGGAAACTAACATTTGCCCAACCTCTTTCTAATGTCCTACCATTTTTATTCCTCATTTTAACCCCGCACTTTGGATTATCTTGTTTTCTATTTTTTTTTAAGTCTTTCACTATTGCTTCTGTTTAATGTTTTGCCTTCTTGGCAGAGAGTTATGTGGGATCCTAGCTCCCCAACCAGGGGTTGAACCAGAATCCCTCATGTTGGAAGGCAAAGTCCTAACCACTGGACCACCAGGGAAGTCCAGGTTATCTTGATTTCACACACAGGGAAACTGAGGCTGAGAAAGGATAAATTTGCCAAAACTTGAACTGTGGTGTTGGAGAAGACTCGTGAGAGTCCCTTGGACTGCAAGATCAAACCAGTCAATCCTAAAGGAAATCAACCCTGAATATTCATTGGAAGGACAGATGCCCTAGCTGAAGCTCCAATACTTTGGCCACCTGATGCAAAGAGCTGACTCATTAGAAAAGACCCTGATGCTGGAAAAGACTGAAGGCAGGAGCAGAAGAGGTCGACAGAGGACAAGATGGTCGGACGGCATCACCAACTCAATGGACATGAGTTTGAACAAGCTCTGGGAGATGATGAAGGACAGGGAGGCCTGGCGTGCTACAGTCCATGGGGTCACAAAGAGTTGGACACCACTGAGCGGGTGAACAACAACAGAGGAAGTGGGGGAGTCAGGGTTGGAATGAAAGTCTGTCTGTCTTCGATGCCTCTGTGCTTTTTAAATTATATGACTAATAAAAATCAAAATACTATATGGAATTGTTTTTCATCATTCTTGTTAAGATTCCAAGATTCCTTCTAAGTAAGAACTAATATCTAGTGGGAGTTATACTATTAAAAAGAATCACATAAGAACAATGGACATTATTCTTACTATTCATTTTAAAGGGTAATAGACACCTCTGAGGCCCTGCAAAGAAAACTGGCTGAAAATTAGAATGGGGAAGATTTTTAAAACTTTGGAATAACTGTTTAAAAGTTAAATGCACATATTAGTTACATCAAGTTAAATACTTGGGATTTTTGAAACCAACAATTTAGCCTGAATCACATGATTAATTTTCTTTTTAAAAATCAACAATTTGGTATCACAGTTCACATCTGACATTCCTATTTTGTTTTTATAATGATATTCAATACTTTGATTAGTAATTAAATATAATGGAGAAAACACTTCTTTCTTCTCTTGGGGCTTACAGCAAAGTAAACATGATTTCTCATTCAAGAGGTACTTTTATGAAGTGAAACATCATCTGGGATATTACTTTGAGTTAAAAAAAGAAAGTACTCAGATCTTAAATCTGGCAAAGGTGGGAAGAAGTCTTACAGAACCTTAGAATTCAAAGGAAATTAAACAAGTTGAATTATGATCTTGTCTGAAAAAATTTTAAAAACCATAGAAAACAAACAGAGGAGCCACCATTTATTATTTGAAAACTACAAAATAAGTGGGCCTGTGGCAGATGGGGGCCTGCACTGGTGATATTTAAGCAAGT